TATAAGTTTATGCACTCTGTTACATGAACGACCCACACTCTCTTTTCGTTTACACATGCGACAATAGTCGTGTTTTCTTTGGTTATAAAGCGCAGTGTCACTAACTTTATACTACTAGCACGGGGATAAAGAAATTATAGAAACTACCTCACTAAATTGGAAAAAATCATATTTACGAGATATCTATTTAAATAAATGTACATATAACATAAAGGCTATTTATTTGAAGCAAGTTATAAGAAACAATGGCAGAATGTCTGTTTTGTGTATGAATTCATTTGTCACGGCTACCAAACTTTGCGAATTATCAGTGAAACAAAACAAACAGACGGGATAATAATTGAACCAGATCTCTATCAGGATCATATCGTTGTTGAATTTGCATGGAAAATTTGTATGCGGATCCCGATTATTGCCTAAGAAAACATAGCTAGAGTTGCGACAGAGTTGCATTGTCTTCAGTTTATCAAGTTTATTCAGTGAAATCGCTGGATAAATTTATCAGAAATGTTTAAACGTGTTTCCATACAAATTTTGACAGTACATTTATAAGGTTTACACAATTATAAGTTTATACGGTTTACAATGCATTTATAAGGTTTGATGAATACCCTTAATAGTCTTATTTTTCGTCTAAAAATTATTGCAAATATCAATTTTGAGTGAATAATCTTCAGTAGTTACTAAAATATCGCAGTTTTCGTATTTCTGAAAATTACTGTTATATGGGAGGTAGGCGTGGTTATTGTCCGATTTTGGTATTTTTCAATACCATCCGTCCTACGCCCGAAAGAAGTGCACGTACCAAGTTTCGTTAAGATATCTAAATTTTTACTCGAGTTATCGTGTGCACAGACGGACGGCCGGACAGACAGTCACCGCTTAATCGATTTCTCTTTTCATTCTGATCATTTATGTATACATTTGTCTATATCTATCTCGATTCGTTTTGCCTGTTACAAACAACCGTTATGTGAACAAAGTTATAATACCCTTGTGCACAAGTGCGCTCGGGTATAAAAAGAACGAAAGGTACTATAAGAAAATGTATCCAAAATTCTGGAGCAAATGAAAAAATGCTCATTGAAAATAGTTCACATGTATAAATCAAAAGATAGAACTTAATAGGTTACAACGCTAAACAAAAGGAAAAGTTAGAAAAAATAGTAATGCGATTTGAAGGAAACATGAAGCCATAAAATGCTTGTTTGTTTCGTTAATTCTCTGAACCTTGTAAGATATGGCACTCTATTATTTGCAGTAGTTTGCAAATATACACTAAAAGCGCAAACAGTCAACGACGTAACGTAGACGTAGGTTGACGCAGACACGCCCCGGCATTCAGTAAGCTGTCTCTAGTCACTAATAGTGACTTTTGGTGGTGAACTTGGATTTTGAGACTATTTGGTATTCAGTACGCTGTCTCACGTCTCTAGTCTCAAAAAAAAAATCACTAATTTGTCAGCTGGATAAGAGCAGGTCTCAAAAATAAAAATATGGAGAGAAAGTTAATTGCTTTCCATTTTAATAAGAATTTCGTTAGGAAATAAAACAAAATGCTTTAATATACAAATCCATTGAAAAAAAATATTTTTTTTTAACATTAAAATCTAAAGATTAAAAAAATAAAACTAATAAAAAAAAAGAAAAAATACTAAATAAAAAAAATAAAAAATCCTCTACGCCCGAGGAGTACTCGAACCTGGACCCTCTGGACTGACAGCCTAATGCTTTGACCACTCGGCCATTGCGACTCTTTGGGTGGCGCGGCAAAAGGCATACATAAACGCTATCAGTGACTGTCTGTGTTTGTTTTCACCACATATTTTTGGTGAACTTTTTGTGACTGTCTCCTACTGAATAGCCAAATTATCTCAAGTCACAAAAATAGTCACTAAATGCTAATCTCATTTAGTGACTTGAGATGAGACTGAACTACTGAATCCCAGGGACGATCTACCTTATGGGATTCGCGTACTAAAGAAAACTCACCACCGCATGGCGGTGAGGTTGGCGTTGCTTCGCTATCTCTCTATCAACAGTAAGTTTGATATGCTACTACGTACACTGGCAATCAAAACCGAGTGCATGTTCGAGATTTTTTTACTTACAGTGTAATAACTTTTTTAATAATGAGCGAATTCTTTCGAAATTCTCAGCAATTGGTCTTTATTATGTAACGAATAAAAGCTAGTATACAGAAAAGATGAATTTAAAAAAAAAACGGTAATTTCACGGCATAAACGTAAGGCAACTCTATGCACTCAGTTTTGAACTTTTCTGTTGTAAGATTTTAGAAGATTGGAATATGCCGTTAGATACATGTCATGATTTTTTCTTTACTTACACAACATTCTTCGAGGTTTGTTTCAATAAGTGCGTTATTTTTGGAGAGTAAGTTCGCGTTTGATATAGTGGTAAAAAAGAAAATGAGAAAAATTGCAATAAGTATTGAAGATAATATAGTCGACTTGACTAAAAATGGGAACTCGTCACGTGTTATTGCTCAAAAATTGAAAGTGAGCCAACGAACGGTAATAGTTGTCCAAAAACGGAGAAATATCGCTCCGGTACCAAATATTGGAGGTCGGCCCAGGCTGCTAAAGGACTCCGACGCCCGTTTGATGTTGCGCAAAATGCAAAATAAAACGTCAAAAACGCCAAAACAGGCAGCTCTGGCTATAAACAAGAACGTTAGTGCACCAACTGCACGTAGAGCGCTCCACAGAATAGGATTAGTGTCAGCAGTTAAGCAGCAAAAGCCAGCTCTGTCTGATAAGAACATCAAAGCGCGACTGAAATTTTGCAAAAGTCACGAGAATTGGACCGTTGAGGACTGGAAACGGGTAATTTGGTCTGACGAAACGAAAATTAATCGTTTCCAGAGCGATGGAAAAGAATATTTTTGGCGTAGACCTCATGAACATCTTCAAAAGCACCATGTGAAGCAAACTGTAAAACATGGTGGTGGCAGCTTAATGGTTTGGGGGTGTTTTACTTGGTGGCATTTGGGGCCGTTAGTTAAAATTGAAGGGATAATGAAGAAGGAAAACTATCTCCATATTCTTCAATCAAACTTGCCCGACTTTGTAGATATGAGCGCATACCCGGAAGAAGAAGTCGTTTTCCAGCAGGACGGAGATCCGAAACATACCGCAAAAATTGTACACCGCTGGCTGCTTGAGCAAAATTTTCAACTACTGCAGTGGCCAGCACAAAGCCCTGACCTCAACCCTATTGAAAATTTATGGGCTGTGGTCAAGAGGCGATTGGGACAGCATACGCGAGCTCCGACTAATATGGAAGAGCTTTGGAGGCGAGTAAAGCTAGAATGGGAAAATATACCTAGCGAAATAATAGAAAATTTAGTCGAGAGCATGCCTAGACGTATGAAACTGGTTATTAAAAACAAAGGATTGTGGATACCATATTGATACCAGCCTACTAAAATCCCACAAAAAAAAAGTTCAAAACTGAGTTAATCGAGTTGCCTTACGTTTATGCCGTGAAATGGCCGATTTTTTTTTTAATTCATATTTTCTGTATACTAGCTTTCATTCGTTATAAAATAAAGACCAATTGCTGAAAATTTCAATAGAATTCGCCCATTATTAAAAAAGTTATTACACTGTAAGTAAAAAAATCTCGAACATGCACTCGGTTTTGATTGCCAGTGTACGTCAACCTACGTTTACGCTACGTCGTTGACTAACTGCGCTTTAATTGTTCTAAAATCGCAAACATTTTCATGGGATGTTTTTCTTTGGTTTCGAATTGAAAATACATTACGATCATATTGTACCGAAATAAATGCGGTATCCCTGCATTTTGTAAAAGCCAGAAAGAAGAATAAACTGTATGAAAAAATGAAAGGGAGAAGTATACATGCCTTCTATAATTTTGACTTATATGTATATTTGGCAAGTCTTTGTGTAAAGCTTAGTATCCAGCTCTTAAGAAAACGGTCAAGAAAAAATTGCCATTATTTCGCGTGTGTGTCCAAGGAATTTTGACATTTTTGATAACGCACAGCCTGTTGCCTCACTCTTTCCTCAAGAAATAATGGAACGGGCATATATTTCTGTTGCAAACCTGGGTTGCCTTGTGCTCTTTTTTCACAAAAAACTTTAGAAAACCGTAGTAGAAAGCGTACTAATTTTCTGAAGAACTGCGTACTGCCTTAAGGAAATTTGACTCAAGAAAATTTCGTAGCCATTTCTTGTACGTCATTTTATATGGAATTTTTGCTTTTCTTAAGAGCTGGATACTAAGCTTAAACAACAAAAAATACAAATTTTCATTTCTTTGCCAGCTTGGAAAATATAGGCTTATTTTTACTTAAACGTGATATAAAGCTCATTAAAATGTTCTGTAATGTCTTGTTGTAAGTTTGTTATCATAGTTTTTCGTATTTTTATTGTCTACTAAACGTGAGTGGCTTCAATTTAAAAAGTTCTAGTACAAAGAATTTCTTTGTTTTGAATTTGTTTGTTTATTGTTTTTAATTTTTAAAATTCGTACTTTTGACATGTATGTGAATGGCAGAGTTGCCGCTTTCCTCCTTTTCGGTGGGTTTTTATATTAAAAACGCATCAAAATGGGAAAAAACCTCCTTGGTATCTCTGCATCTGTTAAACTTTTTATGGGAAGATGTATGAAAATCCAACTTGCTATAATTTCATATGTTTAACAGTTTCACAACAGTATGTTTACAGTATCTCCCCATAATTTTTCATATGAAAAATTGTATTATATGCATCTCACTCGATATCATCGAATTCCTCATTGCAACATGTAGTCCCTCTATTTTAGCGTATCAACAGTTCATATGGCTTCATACCATGTAAATGCTGGCTGCCTATCGGCTGCTATCGCGTGGCAACTATGTTGGACAGAGGGGGCTGGCTGCCTGTTAAGAGGGTTGACAGAATCATGCGTGGCTGGCTGCCTTTCGGCTGCTACGGCGTGACAGCTATATTGCACAGAGCGGAGCGCTATACGTTGGCGCAGGAGGTGGCATAACGCTGGATGGCAGGGCGCTAGCTGGTGAGACGCTAAATGCTGAGGCATTAGTTGGCGGAGCGGTGGACGGCGGAGTGCCCGGCCCATCAAGTTTCATGGCACTGGGCGGCGGAGCGCTAGACTGCGGGGCGATGAATGTGGAGCCACTGGACGGCGGAGCGCTAGAATGCGGCGCGATGAATGTCGAGGCAATGGTTGGCGGAGCACTGGACGGCTGAGTGCCCGGCCCACTAAGTTTCATGGCACTGGGCGGTGGAGCGCTAGGCTGTTCGGCAGCTTTAGCGGACGTGGCGGCAATATTCGCTAAGCTGGCTGACGATTGAATGGCAGGCACTAGGCCTTCTGGCTGATTGCGCTTACTCCGACGTACAGGCTAACGCTACATTCCAAAGTCCTTATAATTTGATGATCAAACGGCAAATTTGTGTGCTATGACAAATGTGATCCCTCGCTTCAAATACTGCCTGTTAAAATTGTAACAAAGTCGGCAGTCCCTTTCTTGCGAATGACTAAATGGCGGCAAATTAGCACACTCGTTCACGAAATGGCGGCAAATTAGCGTGTATGCTTCGGCGACGAACAAGTAAAATGGAAAATAAAGCGTATTACGACACCGAGATTTTGGTTTAACATGCGCACTTGCGCAAGTTTATTTTCCAGTATTCTACCCTCGGTTTGCTCGCGTGATGGATGAAAATTTGTGCCGTTGCCCGAATTTATATGGCAATTCAATTACCGGGATCGCGAAACAGAGCAAAGCGAAAGTAGAACACAGGGTTGCAAATTTATTTAGCAAATCCAAAACTTAAGCTATTACAAGACCGACTGAATGACTATTACAAACGACTGACTGAGTAACAATAACAAATGATTGGACATACTTAACACAATAAAAATCATACTAATTTATCACAACTACAGTGTTGCCACTCATCAATGCCTTTTCATAAACTTACATTTTCAACTACAATTTTTCGTGATATAATAGATTGTCAGCCCGATTCTGAATAGAAACTCCCTAGGAATTTTTCCTCATTTCTCCTTCCTTCAATCATGATTAAAAATTCCCTGAGGCTTTTCCTCTTTTCCCTATTCTCCTATTCTAAACGATCTTCGAAAAAGGGAAAATGTATTTCGGGAAAAAGTAGGTATTGTGGCGAATACTGCGGCAACACAAAGCGAACAACGAGAAATAGGCAGAATGTCTAGGAAAAACGTACAATGTTCCACAAAGAGAAACGTCAAGTTGGATGAACGCTGCGAACAGCGAGGGAAAGAGAATAAGCGATAAACTTCAGAACGTTCTAGAGTTGCCATAAGTGCGAGCGCAGGTATATAAGGGCGCCGCCACAGCGAAGTGAGTTAGTTACAAGTCATGAACGACAGACACAAAATCACGCCTTCCCGAAAGACAGAAAAAAGTTATTTTCAGCTGTTGAAATCTCGACGCCATCTTTGTTGTAAGAAGTAAACAATGAAGAGAACGAAGAAAACCGCGTGATTGTTGAACGCTGTAATAATCATTTTTATTCTGCAAATTCTCTTGAAAATTAATAAAGAAGTGCTTATAAATCATGTTGTCGTGCTAAATTATACTTTACCATATGTGTACACACGTTGCCAAAAGCGAAAATAAAGATTTATGTGATTTTTGAATGGGTGACAAATTGTATTTATTATGTATAAAATTGAATTTGTTATGTAAAATCTTTAAAAATACAACATGCGTATTGAATTTAGATATTTCTATACATTTACAACCAGTGTTTATTTGTGCTTACACTAATTTGGTCGGCGGTTCCATTCCAGTCAAACAGTAGATATTTTAATAGCTAAATAAATATTCAGTCATATTTAAATTCAGTCGCATCGCATCGCCGCTTGGCACCAATATTGGAAATTTAATCAACTTCCTGCTATCGGGGATTGTGGGACGTTGTAAGTTTTTAACGTGTTTACGATTCTTTGTGAATTTCTGCCGCGCATTCCACGAGCGAAAACGCAAAACGCGTATTACCTTGAATTGAACAATTTGGTGCAGTATTTATATAATTGTTCAGGCGTCAGCGACTCTTGTTGCGTATTTTCGGTGACAGTGACGATCTTTGCAGGCGGTACTAGGCTCTTTAAAGCCGCAACATTAGCAGCCAAGTCCTCTGGATTCGCAGTGACGCCTGCGAGTGTTGATGCTGCACTTTTGAGGAGTAAAGACGCAGGCGCTGTAGTAACTGTAGGCTCACTTGTGTCCATGGCTTCGCCATTTTCTGCAATGCTGTTCGTCGAAGATCTTCACTCAAATACGAACTTCCCAAAGAAACGTTAAAAACTAGAAGCAACTTACTCGCGCACTGCCATGACCAAGAAAATAGCTTCTCGACGCTGTAACGACACGCGTTTGTTTATGCCCAAATAGTAACATGCCGCTGTTGTGAGTCACCTGAACCCAACGCCCAGGCAAAACTTCAAAATGGTTATGTCCTTTCTGGAAATTTGCAACAAGCACATAATTTTAAAGATTTGTCTAGTGAAAGCGATTTGCTACAAACCTTCCAATACAGTTTTAAAGAGTTCTTCATATTTCGGTTTCTTCGGTTCCTTAAAGTCATCAGGCAAATTCTCGTTGAGCAGGTTTTCAGTCTCATTGTCGTCAATATCGTTGGATTCATAACCATCACTGTGATCATGATTTTTATTTTTATCACATAGTTCTCACCTGAAATTATTACAGTAATATTGATATGATTTAAATTTTGTATACATATGTACATACAAGGTATAGAAATGATAGCTGCATTGCATTTTTCTCAAAAAAGCCTCAGACTTTTGGGAAAATATTGAAAGTATGCAAACCGTAACTTTGGCGTTACTAAAAATTATATCTACATTATTGAAAAATTGGCAAATATATAGTTTATTACCCTTGTTGTTGTTGTTGTTCTTGTTGTTGTTGTTGTAACAGCATACATATTCGCCAAAGAATTGTTGGATAGTATTGCTGGAGTGCGTAGTTATTGTTCCTTACTTTTGAGGTGTATACGAGAAATTGTTCTCAAAATTGGTTGCTTGGTTCGACGACTAGCCGAAAATTAAAAATAAGGCAGATAAGAGTCCAGCTTTTAGGATCCTGAAATTATTAGATGAAAGATTACAAGATGTATCATATGTTTATAAATATGTACACTTAAAACTTACTTTACGTAATTATTTTTCGAAACTATCGTTTTCGTGATTTTGCACTGTCAAAAAGTTGCTTATTTAAAGATCGTATTCTGACGAACATGCGTGTGCGCAAAAATAATCACTTCACCCTCACATCAGAGCTTATATGATTGGCGCTTCTGATGTGGTCCTCTACGAAATTTTGCATTATCTTTAACCCGTTGCCGTTAATTTCGTCAAACACGCTCTGCAGTTGCTGCATATGCGCCATCAACTCTTCTGTGGGCTTTGACAAACCACCTTCCGTAAGGTGGTTCACCCAGGTATAGCTGTCATCGGCGTTTTCTGCTCTCAAATATGGCACTGAGCTATGCAGTTTATGACAGATATACCCCGCGAGATTTTCGAGCCCGTCGTTTTCCAGACCTTCCATTTCTTGTTCCTCTTGCGCGCTACTTTTTTCGTTGCCTTCGTCTGATTTCAATAAAATTTTATTGAAAATAATGCCTAAGTAAAGAATTATATATTTATATATGAAGTAGTGATAATATTCATAATACAAATTATCTTTTGCATTACCTGTGAGCGAGTTGCTTTCTAACTCAAAGTCTGGAGTGTCGTCGATTGACACATTCGCGCTGTCTGACAGCACGCCCTCGTTGAATCCGAGGATGTAGGAGCGCAGGCGCTACTTGAATTGTTGGCGATCGGGATGGTCATTCATGCCTCCTTTCGAGCGAATAACGCAAAAAAAATTCTCAAGTACGTCCTGATTCAATCCGTACGTTAGTATGTACTTAACATTAAACCGACTTTTTACATCCTCGTATAGCAATTTTAAAGCCAAATTAGATTGAAAAAAGTATAGTGTATGTAATTAGTACCTTTCTGAAAAAGCATCATACTTAATTTCCCAACGATGCGCATTTCGGTCATGAGTTGCGTCATTTGCTGTAGGATTTCGTCCTGAATATCCAACTCTAATCCATACGCATGCGTACGTTTTCTAGTGTCAGGATACGGTACCCTTACGTTCATGACGTCAAACCAGT